GTCTATATTTCGTTTCGCATGACAGTTTCATTCATAATGAGAAATCTACAATTCAAAAGATTTTACTGCAACCACACACACATAACACCAAATTAAAAAAAGAAAAAAAAAAAAACCTTTAAAAATGAGAGAAAGATTATGGATCTGAGACATAAAGGAGCGTACTTGCAGAATTGTCCCTTGAAAAACGTCGTCAACAGAAAAAAGCACAACAATAAGAGGGTATTGTATAAAAAAGCACAAAATTCAAACAGTTAAAGAAAATAACAACAACAACAACAACAATCAGTGGAGAAAAAAGGGGAAAGAGACAAAAAAACATCATGAAAAGAGATGGTGGAGACGTACCTTCTAAAGCAAAGTAGTTCGAGAATCGCTCCCATTTGGTTGCTTCTGAAACCAATTGATGTTCAAAACCTTTATAAGAAAAAACCCAAAATCAGAAATCAAAAGCAAGAGTCGTAGCGGCAGTGTTGTCGCTAGGTCCAGTGGTAGTACGTTTTCTGGTGATGGCGGCGGGTTTAGGAGCGCAGAGAAGGAGGGTGGAGGAGATTTTGTGGGAGCAGAAATCCCTAAGAGTGGGTGGTGGAGGAGACGATGGCGGTACTGGAAGTTTTGCTGTTGCAAGAAGAAAAAAAACATCGAGAAGGGAAGCATTTTTTACGGAAAGGAAAAGAAAGGACCAAAGCTTTCCAGATGGGTAGGAAAAAGACGAAAAAACCCACACAAAAGCGAAGAAACAAAAGAGAGAGCAAGGGCAAAAGCGTCAGAACACTATTTCAAAAACAGTAAACTGAGTGTGAATGAACAGTGCAGAACGGGTTTCCTTTAGAATATAGTAATAATTTGTATTTTCTACTTATTTTTATATTATTTTCTCATATTCTAACAATCAAAAAATGACCATCACAACCCTATCGGGAATTTTAGGATTCTAAGCCCATATCCTCAAAGACTATGAAAATTAGGTTCTTTTTAGGTATAGTGAAATTTTACGTTGTCCTTTCTATTTTGATTTTTATAACCTCTGAAAATTTTAGGATTACCTAATTGTTTCTTATAGTCTCTCAGCTTTTATCATAACTGGACATGACTATCCTTACTTTTTGAACACTAAAAATCGTGCTAACACGTTCTAAAATAAATACATGTTTAGTTTGTTGATTCGAGTTTTTAATTTGAGTTGATATATGAATTTATGTGAGAGCTTTTTACTGTAGTAAAAAAGTTAGATGTGACTGTTTCTGAGAACTTTTTACTGTAACAAAACTCGAATCGGTGAAATGAACGGAGGCTAAATAAATTGATCATAAGTAAATTCTATTGTACAATTTGTTATCCGATAAAGTGGTTGTTACAATAAATGTTTTTTATATATATAGTAATAGATAGTTTTGTTAATAAACAAGAAAGTAGACATTTTTAAATTTTAGGTGCTCATAATTGAGGGTGACAATTCGTATTACTGGGTCGTGTTCGTATCAATTCGTTTATTAATTATGTCAGAAAATATCAACCAAAACATGACCTGTTTATTAAACGTGTCAAAAATGTCAACCCAAACACGACTCATTTATTAATCGTGTTAACCCGTTTAAATTAATATATTGAATAAATAACTAATATAATAATGACTTATTTAACACGGTCAAGACATATTTAACATGTTTATTGGTCAATTTATCTTTTTCTTTTAAAAAATAAATGAATTTTACCTACAAATATTAAAATTTACATTATTTGTATATAATATGTCATATAAACTTTAATGTTATATCACATATCATTAGATTGCAGATGACACATATGGTTAATCGTGTCAACTCGTGTTACTTCGTGTTAGGAGGTCAACCCTAACCCAACTCATTTATTAATCGTGTCAATCCGATTTTGACTCAAACTCATTTATAATAAATCTAAACCTGCTAACGTCGTGTCGTTACATGGATTGCCAGCTCTACTCATAATAGCCTTAAAATTACGACCTGATACCCACAAATTTAATTTTTATTGCAAAGTGCCTTGGAGTAGCTGGATACTTAGATTAGGGAAAATAAATAAACGACAAATGCACTCTTGTCAAATTATGTCCAAGCGTGGATGGGGTTATGAACACTTGTATCAAAACAACTGCCTTAATCATATGGATGAGGTGTACACTCCTTTATCATATGGTAAGAGTATTGAAGATGACAACGTTTTGCCTATATTATACATTTAAAAAGAAAATTAAAAGGAAAACGTTTGTTATGCCTTCCTTTTTACCCAACTTTAAGCTAACCTGTAATCTATATCTACGAAAATATGAATCCTAAAGAGTGATAACGGAGGTGGGGGTACTTACAAAATTGATGATATGAGTTTAGTGGGTCCCACAAACATAAGGGATGAGGACCTCTGAGAATTGATTTCTTGTTAAACGGAATAAATGACAAATTTATATACTCTTAATAAATTCTTATATTATAAGCTAATGATTATTTAATTGTGGAGTAAATACATTGTTGAGATTAGACTACTATTCCCAAGTTTAATATACATTAGAAGGGAATTGGATTTTTATTTTACACCATTTGATAGACAAGTAAATAAAGAGTCAGTGATCCCTATTCTCCTCCTTATTTTCTTTCCAATCCTATTGTCTTTCCATTATATTTCTTTATGATTTGATATATGTGCCTAAAAATTTATTATACCAATCTTGGAGGTAACTTTTCCTGTAAAAAGATTAAATCAAAACGTAATGGAAGGAGACGTGGAACATAATTCAAATAATAATTTGACTACAATGAATGAATAAATAAGGTGATTTAGTGATGCAATAGTTGGAAGTATTTTTAGAATTGAGATAATCTTATATAGATTTTGAATTACTATTAGATATTATTTGAATTTAAAATTATCTTGATTAGATATTCATATTTGGGCTTTGAGATTTTAGGGAAGTGGTTATCCTTACAATATGTGTTTTAGTTGTCTCAAATTTAAAGTTTAAAATAGGGTTAGGTTATTAGTTTTACATTTAAAGCTTATTTGTACTATTTTCCTAAACAAAAGTTTTTGATAATTAATATTATTCCGTTATCTCAATTATCTAGTTATCTCGATATTACATAGAATAAATGAGTGATTGATGCATATTCTCTTGGCATTCATGAGCGAATTAATAGATTTATAGAAGTCTTATTTTTAGTATTCTTCAAGAATCAAAGGATCTTAGGAATTTATTCCGCCTTTCCTATTTTTCACACGCTTCCGCTACATCAATTGGTACTAGAGCCAAAAGGTTCCTACACCAAATTTCATGATGTCACCTCACTGTCATCCCACCATCTAGGTTGCTCCACCCACCGCCGGTAATCTCGAGTCTAATTTTTTATGAAAGCGATTATGAAGAGGAGGATCAACTTGTTAATTTTGATCTTGGTTCAATTTTTGACGAGAGCGATGACGATCAACAAAATAATTGCGTTCTAATATTTGATGAAATTGAAGAACAAGAAGGCCAAAATATTATTTTTGGTCCAATTTTTGATGAAGTCAATGAGGAAATGAAAGATTGTGAATCAGTTTCCAGTGCAATCATCATCATTGAAAAAAGTTTTTCGTGGCATCATTTTAGCAAGTTCGACAAATCATTTGCTTCACAATTGGGTCATTTTCTCTTTTCATACCACTTGAGGCTACTTCTAATTCGAAGACAACTTCTTTCCACCCCGGAGAGAATAATATAGTGTTGGGATATATACCCATAAATCAAATAAGATGTAAATATTTTGCTGATTATCAATAAAATAAGGAATTTTTTCAATATTATTT